TCAGTAAATAAAGCAGCATTAATATTGATAAAAATAATCATAAGGAAGTAAAACCTTTTCTAATTAGATCACATGCGCCAAGGTCCGCCGGGAAATCTAATGCTTAAGAGACTTTGAACTGATATCGAGATCACCAATCGACAATCACCACGGGTAAAATTTCGAAAAGTAGGAGGAACACCCCGCCTAATGAGGACACCAGCACAATTTTTAATTCGTTAAGGTGAAGAATCTCCACTTCTGCGCAATTTCAATTCGTTGAAGTTTTGGAAGATTCCCATTCTTAGAATTAGAATACATCCCTGAAAAAAGAACTATAAAAAGAGGACTCGAAGGAACCTTCACACACTTATTCTTCGGTCTTCAGCTTCACGCAGTCTTACTCTGTGCTTTTGCACCGTAATTCGCGAGTTAGGCACTTGTGCAACCAGTGTCCTCACTTGGCATCATCTCCAGAGCAACCACGAATCGAATATCGGGCTGCCGACATGAGACACAGCGAAATACTGTACAAATTTGCCATCCCTCCACCTCTGAATTACTATTTTAAAAAGTAAGTTTAATTGAATAATTTTTCTTTCCCTCCTTTTTGTCTAGTTTCATATTTAAATCAAAACTCTTTCCGAAGAATGTTTCATTCTTTTAAATCATCAACCCGTTTCGGCAATAAGTCTTAGAAAATTTTAAATCCTGATCTTAAGGGGATGCATATGCCGTCTGTTTTACCGACTAAAACAATAATTTTTTCATGCACCAAAATGTTTTTATTGGTTGTATAGACTAATAAATCTCTTTCCATGATTAAAGTACACACAGTAATATTGCCCGAACCTATCTCTTTTTATGTTAAAAACGAGGAAAATTAAAAAATTACAATTTTATTACCGGCTTGTGGCGTAAACTCATAACAACAATTCCTCAATATAAAAGTTTTGCAGTTTGTACGCACAAAATAGAATAACTTCGTCTTCGGAATTGCATGAAAGAATATAGGTGAACGTTTAGAAATGTGTTTAGAAGCCTAGTAAAAAAGATTTTAGTGCAGAAAATTTTCGTGTATATGTGTGTGTGCGAAATCGAGGCTCAAGAGTAAAACAAAGCAGAAGATTAGTTGCATGATGTCGCGATAGACAGAGCTGTAATCTTACATGACAAGGATAAATATAATCGTATTATCTTTGTCTCTTTCATGTGTGTGAGAGTAATATATATGTACGCACTAGCATTATAGCAGTTTCTCGCATCTTCCATTTCTCGATCACTTGCTTATTCTGTCTCTTTCTAATCGTTTGCTCACTACGTACTACATATCGCTCAGCTTCATTTTCCTCGCACATACTCGCTTACACTCGCGCCTCTCTCTCTCCCCCTCTCCCTCTCCCTTCCTCCCTTCCCCTCCCACCCTCCCTACATAAAAATAAATTATTTTACGCACTTTTATAACATATGGGAAATGCTGTAAGTTACTTTCTCTTTTTATTTTGCTATTCTCTAAATATATCTATATAATATAATGTATATATATTTTTTACATTTGCTATAAAAATCTTTATGATAATTGATTATTATTTATAGCTATTTATTAATTTATAAATGGAAAAAAATTAGATATATTTTATCCATTGATGTTATCAAACATATATATATATAGGGTGAGGCATTTATAGTGACGCGGGCGTATTTCTCGGAAACGAAGCGAGATATTAAAAAATGTTTCAGACAAAAGTTGTTTGGTTCCA